ATAAAAAAAAAAAAAAATTAAAAAAAAAAAGAGATTAACTTGAAGCGTCAGAATCCAAATTAACAAGTAACTTATCGAAATTTGAGCAAGAAACGTAGCAATTTGTGTACGTAAGATTATACGACTACTCAGATAATTACTAGTTCTTGTTGCTGTAGTAACATTTATAAATACACTCTTATTGTTATCAACTCCTTTTTTATAAAAAAAAAGAACGAGGTTAAGGGATTCGATTTATCTTACAATTGAGTTGAATCGGTTTTTACAGGCTGATGGATAATCACAAACTGACGTTCGTTTAACAGCCAAGGAAAAAACAAAGTAAAAGAGTCGCTTGTCAATTAAAATGGAACGAAAAAAAAAAACGCATCTTGACCAAACTTCTGTGTACAAATCTACATGCCTGTCAACTCCGTGGCTCACCTCTTATTAACTCTCTGAGTTGCTGAGGAGAGGAAAAGCATCCCTGACCAACCCTTATTCGATCAGTTGTGATGCGGTCTTCACACGGGCTTTCTATGTATCCCGTGTGATGATACGCCTTTTCTTAATTAAAATACAACATTTATAAACTAATAAATGCAGCAAACGAACATTAACAACAATAAATACTTAATAACTACATTCTCCCACTAAACAAAGGTTAATTTTGTTCATTCGCAAATTTGATTAGCTTTCTTGCCAGTCTTAAGAATTTTCCAAACATAGTTTTAACTTCTGCCGTACGAACTTAAATATCAGAACCAGGGAAAACTCGCGTAATTAGTCCCCTTCTCCATTGATTCCGTTCTACTTTATCATCTAAAATTAAGACAATATCTCCTTTCTTTAGAGGGGCTTCTTTTCCATTTCACTTTTTTTCTTGGAATCAATGAAGGAAGGTACTCACGTAGCCATCGCTTTTAAAACAATTGAGTCGTCATTTCACAAATTTTCCATTGTTTTCTTGAACATCAATTCATTACTTTATTCAAATCAAATTTAATTATGCTAGATGATGTTCTAATCAAAAAATGATCTGGGGTCAAGGCTTCATTGTCCCGTGGATCCCAGGATACGTGAGTTAAAGGGTGAGAATTCACTGTATGTTTAATTTCAGCAAAAATTGTCAATAAAGTTTCGTCTCTCAGAACTTGCTCTTGCACTGATGCAGAAATAGCAACTTTTACGGATCTTATTAAGCGCCTTCATGCTCCTCCCATGTAAGGAGCAGAGAGGGGGGATTGAAACTCCAATAAATTTTATTGCACGCTGCGAATTCTTCGAACTTTTTATTCTTTGAGCTCAAGCTTTTAATAGTTTCCCTTAGTTCATTACACATACCTTTAAAATTGGTTCCATTATCCGAATAAATAACTAAAGGAGTACCTCTTCGGGCAATGAATCTTTTGAAAGCCAGTATAGCTGAATCAGTATTTAAACTATGCGCAACCTCTATACGTATGGCTCTTGTTGACATGCAAGTTAATAAAACCCCCCACCTTTTTTCACGTCGTCGATCGATCTTAACTAGAAGCGGGCCAAAATAATCCACCCCACAATGCGAAAATGGCCTCATTTTATACGCTAGTCTAGCAGGTGGAGGTGGAGCTATTTTTGGATTTTCTGGTTTTGCTCTTAGTAATTTGCATTTTACGCAATTAAAAACTAAACTTCTTAACGCGTGTCTAAGCCATAATATCCAAAAGGTCTGTTTAAGCTCGTTCAAAACAGTGTCATTGCTGCCATGAAAACATTTTACATGGTAATATTTGATTACAAGTTTAACAAAGGCTTCTTTTGCATGTAAAATAATTGATTGATGAAAAGATTCATCCTCAATACTTTTAAAATTAACTAATCTTCCACTGATTCTCATGAGTCCTTTGTTATCAATAAAGGGTTCTAAACTCTAAAGTGGGCTGTTTTTTTTCTTTTTTGTTAGTTAAAATAATGTATTCGTTAAAAAAGGATATTTGTTGAGAGATTTCAATGCAATATTCTTTAGCTTCAAATCTTGAAATTGATAACGAAATTGTTTTTTTTTCCATTTATCTATAGCTGCATATACTAATGCATGTACTAATGCAAAAATAATGCAAAAACAAAACATCAACATAAAATATATATTTGCGACCGCTGTCTTTATTACTTTACAACTGATGAAATGTTAAGAACACATACGGTGGAGTGCGTTAAAGTGAATAAGTGTAAAATAAGCTTGCCGAGGTATGATAATAAAATTTTAAAATTTGAAAATCACATAAATAAAAATCGTGTACCATTTATAGTATACGCAGACTTTGAGTGTTTGTTAAAACCTGTGCATAATAGTGAGAGAGCAATACATCACCATAAAGCATTAAGTGTTGGATATTATGTAAAGTGCAGTTTTGATAACGTGACATCGCGATATGTTTTCTACAGAAAAAAAACTGAAAGCAGTGAGAATCCAGCTACCTGGTTTGTGAAAGAAATGCAAGATCTTGCCTTAGATTTACATAGAATGTACAACAATCCAGTGCCAATGAGATCATTAACTGAAGAAGAGGACTTTGATTTTTTTAATGCTGATATATGTCACATATGTAAGAAGTCTATTGAAAATGATAAAAAAGTTTACGATCATTGCCATTTTACTGGAGAGTAAGTATTATATTTATGAGTTTGTAATTGAGAAAATTTTTCCCTTTAAACTAAAATTCGCATTTTTTTACTCAGATATCGAGGCCCAGCTCACAATGTATGTAATCTCAAGTATCAGGACTCGCGACCAGTACCAATAGTTTTCCATAATCTTAGCAATTATGATGCCCACTTATTTATACTTGAACTTGTAACTTGATTTTCCGGAAGAGTACAAGTTATCCCTCAAACTAAAGAAAAATACATTTCTTTTACGAAGTACGTTGTAGGGACACGCATAAACTTACGCTTCATTGACTCGTATAGATTTTTGCCGTCGTCGCTTGATAAGTTGGGATCTTACTTAGAGCAGTATGATACTCTAGAAAAGGTTTTCAGTCAAGATGATAAATATTCTTTCGAGCAAATCAATATGCTAAAGAGGAAGGGTGTATTTCCATACGATTATGTAGCATCATTCGAAAAACTTAAAGAAATCGGGCTCCCATCTAAAGATGATTTTTATAGTAAATTATATAATGCACATATAAGTAGTGAAGATTATATACATGCTGAAACAGTATGGAAAACTTTTGATATTATAACTCTTGGACAGTATTCAGATCTTGACCTCAAAACTGATGTGCTTTTGTTAACAGAAGTATTTGAAAACTTTAGAAATAATTGCCTCAAGCTTTATAAATTAGATCCTGCTCACTATTTCACTACTCCAGGCTTCACTTGGGATGCCATGTTAAAAAAAACGAAAGTAAGTCTTATGTATAAGAATATAATGTCAATCGTGCTTTAGTTATTAATTGAGGATTTTTTTCAGATTTTACTAGAACTCATTACTGAAATAGATATGTTTATGTTCCTTGAAAAAGGCATACGAGGTGGAATAAGCCAGTTCTGTAACAAATATGCAGAAGCTAATAATCACTATATAAAAAATTATAAAAAAGATGAAACTGAAAGATATATAGCATATTTTGACGTAAATAATTTGTATGGTTGGGCAATGACTAAAAAACTTCCTTACGGTGGATCTCAGTGGGTCGAAAATGTTGAGCAACAGCCTCATGATTCATATAATATTGGAAATGAAAGTGCTTACGGATATATTTTAGAAGTGGATTTGGAGTATCCAGAGGAGCTTCACGATTCTCATAAAGATTTGCCATTTTGTTCCGAATACATTTCAGCACCAG